CCCAGCCCGCAGTATTTCAGGGACAGGCTCTTCCCCTCTACCCCTCACCCTGAGAGCACCCCTGGTGGCTTGGTTGGGGAGGGAGGACCTGCGTGTCTCCAGAGGAGCCAGGCAGGCAGGTGGAGGGCAGCCCAGCCACCCACCCCATGGGATCCCCCAGCCCTTCACCCGCGCCTGCCTTGTCCCCATGATAGTTGACAATCGGGGCTTCCTGCAAGGCCTGTCTGTCTGTCCAGGACTCCTGGTGGCCAGATTCGGCCTCCAGCCTTGACCTTAAACTGCAGCTGACCCTAGGGGCTCGCCGCTGCCCCTCTCCACCGCTCCAGGGCCTGAGACAGCAGGAGCCCCGCCCGGCCTGAAGCTGTTTCCACCGCAGCAGGCAGAGGGACTGGACAGGCACTGTCAGCCAATGTGGGGGGTCCTGAAGACACCCCCTTGGGGCAACCGAGTGCCCCTTCTCAGGGCTCAGTCTGACCGTGGCCACGTCCTGCCTCGCGCCGCCCCTTGGGCCTGGCCTGGAAGCTCTGTCAGCTCCGTCCTTGTCCTTAGAGCTGGGCCCAGACCCCAGGGTCTGGCCGAATCCCCACCCCCAGGGCAGCATTTTTGGTCTGCCACCTTCAGGAAAATGGCCGCGGCCTTGGCCTCCCTTCGGGCACCCAGGAATGGAGGGGCCTGCTTAGTACCCCCACCCTCCATGCTCCAACCTCTGGGGGCTGCGGAGCCTGCTGCCCCTCCCTGCGGGTGGGGACGTTCTATGCAATACAGGGTTCCACTTTGGAAGTGTGCGGGGCTGTGCTGCGGGGGCAGCTAGGGTCACCACCCGCCCTTCCCAGCCCAGTCCCCAAACTCCATGCCTGGGACAGCCCCCTCTGGCTTCTAAATCCGCGGTCGGGATTCCTTGTGTTTAGTTTTTTAGTTGTTTTTTTTTTTTAAGGAAAAAAAAACATCGGTTGACTTTGCTTCCCTGTTCTTGAAGAATACTTGAATGTCGGGGGGTCTGGGGGTGGGGCCCTCGGAGACCATCCGCCTGGCCCTGCTGCCCCTCCCGAATCTCGTACGATGGTCACAGTCCGGTGGCCGTGGGGGTGCTCTGCCCTCCCTGGTCCCCACTGCCCATATCTGTGGACTGCCCCTTCCAAAGACCCCTGGGGGGTGGGGCAGGCCGCCCACCCCCCTCCCCCATCATGTCCCGCCCGTCAGTGATTCTATGTTTTGTAACGGGGGATTCTCTGCCTTTTTGTATAAAGAACAAGCAAACAGACCCCCGCCCGCTGCAGGCGCCCACAGCCATCGCGTCTGAGCTGCTAGCAGCTTTTTTTTTTTTTTCTGAAGGTGGGACAGTCACTTCCTCCTCCCTCCCCACCCCTGTCGCATCCACGTGCGACCTGGAGGACTGGTCAGAACCATTACTGTGAATGAGTGAAGATCCTGGAGAACCCTGGGCCCCAGGCCAGCTCCCAGCGCTGGGGGACAGTGAACGGCCATGTGTTAATGTTACGATGTTTTTAAAAGACAAAAAAAAAAGAAAAAAAAAAACCTCAAAGTTTTTTTTAAGTGGGGGAAAAACATCCAAGCACTTTAATTCCATTGTACCAGGTGAACTGACGGAGCTCAGAAGTTTTCCTTTACACCAACTGTCAATGCCGGAATTTTGTATTCTGTTTTGTAAAGATTTAATAAAAGTCAAAAAACCTGCTGTGTGTGCCTGAGTTCAAGTTTTCTGTCACTGCATAAGGAGCCGCCCCCAATCTATTGTTGCAAAACCACGTTGTTGGCAGTGGTGCTGAGTCAGGAGTTTTGAGGTTGTGGGGTCTGTGCCCCAGGATGCCTGGATGCACCGCTGGGAAGACAGCGGCCAAAAGCTGAGCTCGGCTGGGCACGGTGGCTCATGCCTATAATTACCCAGCACTTTGGGAGGCAGAGGCGGGCAGATCACGAGGTCAGCAGTTCTAGACCAGCCTAATCAACAGGGTGAAACCCCGTCCCTACTAAAAATACAAAAATTAGCTGGGCATGATTGCGCACACCTGTAATCCCAGCTACTCAGGAGACTGAGGCAGGAGAATCGCTTGAACCCGGAAGGCGGAGGTTGCAGTGAGCCAAGATCGCGCCACTCCAGCCTGGGCGACAGAGCGAGAGAGTATCAAAAAAAAAAAAAAAAAAAAAAAGCCGGGCGTGGTGACTCACGCCTGTAATCCTGGCACTTTGGGAGGCTGAGGCGGGCGGATCACAAGGTCAGGAGATTGAGACCATCCTGGCTAACATAGTGAAACCCCATCTCTACTAAAAATATAAAACAATTAGCCTGGCATGGCGGTGGTCACCTGTAGTCCCAGCTGCTGGGGAGGCTGAGGCAGCAGAATGGCGTGAACCCGGGAGGCGGAGCTTGCAGGGAGCCGAGATCGCGCCACTGCACTCCAGCCTGGGTGACATAGCAAGACTCTGTCTCAAAAAAAAAAAAAAAAAAAAAAAAGCTGAGCTCTTCATACACAGGTGGCCTCATTCCTGCGAGCTGGGCGACTCCAATGCAGGGCTCAGCTGAGCCACCGTGCCCTGCCTTTTTTTTTTAAGACAATATATCGGCCGGGCGCGGTAGCTCACGCCTGTAATCCCAGCACTTTGGGAGGCCAAGGCGGGTGGATCACGAGGTCAGGAGATCGAGACCATCCTCACTAACTCGGTGAAACCCCGTCTCTACTAAAAATACAAAAAATTAACTGGGCGTGGTGGCGGGCGCCTGTAGTCCCAGCTACTCGGGAGGCTGAGGCAGAAGAATGGTGTGAACCCGGGAGGCGGAGCTTGCAGTGAGCCAAGATGGTGTCACTGCACTCCAGCCTGGGTGACAGAGCGAAACTGTCTCAAAAAAAAAAAAAACACGGACAGGCTATCAGCCGGGTGCAGTGGCTCATGCCTGTAATCCCAGCACTTTGGGAGGCCAAGACAGGCAGATCATTTGAGGTCTGGCCAACATGATGAAACCCTGCCTCTACTGAAAATACAAAAATTAGCCCAGTGTGGTGCAACATGCCTGTAATCCCAGCTACTCAGGAGGCTGAGGCACAAGAACACAAGAATTGCTTGAACCCGGGAGGCGGAGGCTGCAGTGAGCCGAGATGGTACCACTGCACTCCAGTATGCTCAATGAGCAAGACTCTGTCTCAAAAAACAAAACAAAACAAAAACCCAGGCGTGGTCAGCTGCATGGGAGGCCGAAGCAGTTGGACAACTTGAGCCCAGGAGGTCGAGGCTGCAGTGAGCCGTGATCATGCCACTGACTCTAGGCTAAGTGATAGAGTGAGACCCTGTCCTTTTTATTTTCCTTTTTTTTTTTTTTTGAGACAGAATCTCACTCACAGCCCAGGCTGGATGGAGTGCAGTGGTGCTATGTCTCGGTTCACTGCAATCTCCGCCTCCTGAGTTCAAGGGATTCTCCTGCCTCAGCCTCCTGAGGATTATAGGCGTGTGTCACCACGGCCCAGCTAATTTTTTGTAATTTTTTTTTTTTTTTTCTTTTTGAGACAGAGTTTCGATCTTGTTGCCCAGGCTGGAGTGCAATGGTGTGATCTCAGCTCACCACAACCTCCACCTCCCAGGTTCAAGCGATTCTCTCACCTCAGCCTCCCGAGTAGCTGGGATCACAGACATGTGCCACCATGCCCAGCTAATTTTGTATTTTTAGTAGAGTCGGGTTTCTCCACGTTGGTCAGGTTGGTCTCGAACTCCCAGTCTCAGGTGATCTGCCCATCTTGGCCTCCCAAAGTGCTGAGATTACAGGCGTGAGACACCATGCCCAGCCAATTTTTTGTATTTTTTTTTTTTTGAGATGGAGTCTGGCTCTGTTGCCCAGGCTGGAGTGCAGTGGCCAGATCTCAGCTCACTGCAAGCTCTGCCTCCCGGGTTTGCGCCATTCTCCTGCCTCAGCCTCCCGAGTAGCTGGGACTACAGGCGCCTGCCACCTCGCCCGGCTAGTTTTTTGTATTTTTTTAGTAGAGACGGGGTTTTGCCGTCTTAGCCAGGATGCTCTCGATCTCCTGACCTCGTGATCCACCCGTCTCGGCCTCCCAAAGTGCTGGGATTACAGGCTTGAGCCACCGCGCCCGGCCAATTTTTTGTATTTTTAGTAGAGACAGGGTTTCGCCCTTTTGGCCAGGCTGATCTCGAACTCCTGGCCTCAAGTGATCCAGCTGCCTCGGCCTCCCAACGTGCTGGGATTACAGGCGTGAGCCCCACACGCAGCCGGGACTCAGCTGCGAGCTATGAACGCGGACCAGCGCCTGCAGGGAGCCTCCCCGTGTGGCTTGGGGTCCCTCACAACATGGCAGCTGTGTTCCCAGTCCGGTCTCCAGTAAGCAGGGTTCCAAGCGAACAAAGAAGCTGCCAGGATGACCTGCTGGGAAGTCAGGCGGCGCCACCCCGGCCACCTTCTCTGGTTTCACAGGAGGCGCGAGGCCCGCCCAGGTTCAAAGGGAGGGGGAGGGCAGGGTCTCCTCCTGGGAGAGGGTGACAGACGTTGTTGCCGCTACCTTGAGACTGTGAGACCTAACAAGTCCTAGTAATTCTAACCTTCCGCGCATGGCCGGCCCCTGCCTGCTCTAGGGTTCACTCGCCAAGCCATTATTAAGTTTTTGTTGCAGTCAGGACTCTGTGCTGGGGCTGGTGGCAGAGAAGATGAGCTGGACGGCCAAGGGCTGACCTCACATCCCGGGGTTGGGTGTAGACCAGGAAGGGCTTCCTGGAGGCGGGAGCGGAAGGAGGACAGCGAAGCCTGGTGGTTAAGGAGGCCAGCCTGGGCTGAAATCCCAGCTGTATCCAGGCTACTGTGTGCCTCAGTTTCTGGATCCAAGCGGGATCCAAGGGCAGCCTGGTGAGCTACAGGCTGGTAGCGCAGTGCAGCGACGAAACCCAACAACAAAGAAACCGATGACGTCGCCTGAGGGGGCGGGACTTGAGGCCTGGAGGGGGCGAGACTTGGGGTCTGGGAATGGGGGTTTATAATTTGGAGGCGGAGTCGTGGACTTGGAGGGCGGAGCTTGGAATCTGAAGGGGCGGGGCCTCGTCTGGGTAGAGGATTGAGGCCTGGAGGGCCGGGGCTTGGGGGAGGTTCCCAGAAGGGGCGGGGCTTGTGTATTGGGTGAGGTCTGAGGCCTGGAAGGCAGAGACTTAAGGCCTGGAGGGCGGAGCTTTTGCCCGGAGGGGCGGGGCTTATGAACTGGAGGTGGGGGTGGAGCTTGTGTCTGGGGCCAAGTCTGGGCCTGGAAACGCCGGGCCTGAGGTCTAGAGGGGCGGGTTTTGGGCCCGGAGCGGTTTGGAGGTAAGAGAGATGGCGCTCAGGACGAGAGGGTTCCCTGCCCTGCCCCAGGAGCCTGCGTGGGAGAAGGCGTGAGGAGGGGAAGGAAGGTTATGGTACCTGCACACCGAGAGGCTGGAGCGCGAGAGTAAGCACCGTGTGGGGGACACACTCGACCACGGCGGGGGAGGGGGCTGCACCCCAAAGGCAACAGGGAACCCAGGCAGCATTTTATTTTTTCGGGTAACAGTTTTACTGTGATAAAACTCAGCACCTGGCCGGGCGCGGTGGCTCACTCTCGTAATCCCAGCACTTTGGGAGGCCGAGGTGGGAGGATCACCTGAGGTCAGGAGTTTGAGACCAGCCTGGCCAACACTGAAACCCCATCTCCACTAAAAATACAAAATTAGCTTGGCGTGGTGGCAGGTGCCTGTAATCCCAGCTGCTAGGGAGGCTGAGGCAGGAGAATCGCTTGAGCCTATGAAGCTGAAGTTGCAGTGAGCCGAGATTGCACCACTGCACTCCAGCCTGGGCAACATAGGGAGACTCCTCAAAAAACAAGACAAAACAAAAAAAAACTCAGCACGGTAATTCACCCACTTCGTCTAAAAGTCAATGGGTTTTTTAGCACATGTAAAGTTGTGCAACCTTTGCTTCTAATCCAATTCTGCAACATTCTCATCCCCCAGGAAAGCGAGCCTGTCCCATCAGCAGTCACCGCCTCTCCCCACCTCCCCAGCCCCCAGGGGCCACTAGTACACTCTCCGTCTCTGGGGATTTGCCTGTTCTGGACTTTTCATGTGAATGGCCTGGGGATGGATTCCAGCTGGGCCTAGAGGAGGAGGGCTCCTGGGAGACCCAGTTGGAGCAGAGACCACAGCCATGGTCAGGAGGGGCCCAGCCCTGCAGGGCTGACTGCTGGGGGAGGTGAAGGGTGGGCCGGGCACTGGGGGGTCTGTCATCCCCTGCGGGGCACTTCGTGGCCACCCCATGGTCCTGACTGAACCCCACGACCCATGCAGTCCAGTCCTTCTAGCCCTGTTCTGCAGCTGCAGTGGGAGGGAGGGGCCCAGGGTCCTCTGCTAGCTTCCCCCACAGCCTCAAGGCACAGACTGGAAATCAAGGTTCCGAGCTGTCCCCTGGAGCATGGGTTATGGAGCTGGCAAGATAAGGACTGCCAACCCGGGCCTCAGTTTCCTCATCTGGAGAACAGAGAGCTGGGCCAGATGAGCACAGGGCGGGGTCTGGCCTCTACCCTTGACAGTAGCAGCCCCCAGAAACCCACAGGGCCCAAGCCCCCAGGTTTTCTCTGGGTGCTGCGGCCAACCTGGCTGAGCCTCGTCCAAGCTGCGGACAGCGCTCCCTCCTCAGCCCCATCCCTAGGGTCTCTCTTCTCTCCTGGCTTTGGTCTTCCCTGTCTTCTCCTCCTTTCCCCCCATCACACCCTTTGACTCTCAACTCCCAAGTCTCCTCTCAAAATCACCCCCACTTTTGTCCTCCCCCCCAACTGCTACCCCAGGCCAAGGCCCCAGACTCCTTGCTGACCTTCCAGCTCCCATTCCTGCCTCTGCCTCTTTTCTCCTAGTGAATTAAAACCAATCATGGCCCTCCCCTGCTCTAACACCTCCCATGGCTCCCCATTGCCCACAGCACAAAAACAAAGTGCTCTTGGCTGCCCTGGCACCTAGTTTAGGTTCTAATAATAATAATAATAATAATAATTTTATTTAGTCTGGGTGCAGTGACCCACACCTGTAATCTCAATACTTTGGAAGGCTGAGGTGGGAGGATTGCTTGAGCCCAGGAGTGCAAGGCTCAGGGCTCCCAGCCTCCAAGCCTCCCCCTCAAACCCTGCCCTCCTCTCAATTTCTCCAGCCGCAGCTGCTTCTGGATGCAGGGTCTATGCACCTGCTCCCCCTTCCAGCGGGGCCTCCCCAACATCCTCTGCACCTGGTTTCTCCTCTGCACCCTTCAGCCGCGGATCTGGGAGCACTTCTGCAGGTGCTCCCTAGGAGCTCAGGCCACATCACAGCCCACATGACCATCTGTGAACGTTTCTCACCCTGGGTTACTCATCCGCCACACTGGAAGGTGGGCTGAGCTCAGCTGTCTCCTCCTTTGTCCTAGTTTGTGACCTCACACATAACAGATTGAATGAATGAATGAATGAATGAATGAATGAATGAATGAAAGCGCACAGACGGCCCCACCCGGCCATCCTCAGGGCTCCCTGGCCTGCTGTCCTTCTCCCTTGGCCAGCCTGGCTTGTGTGTAGGAAGTGTGGGAGGTCCCATAGGCCAAGTCACTTCCCTCCCGGGTGGCACCGAGCCCTGCCCGGCCCTGCCAGGCCCCCCCGCTGACCGCTGCCTGCCCCCGGCCGCCTGCCAGGAACAGCTTGTCTTCTGAGCTGCTGCTCTCAATCCTGTTTTTGTGGTTTCCTCTCTGCCAATCCCGCCCTCTTCCAGTCTCTTCTTGTAGAGTGGCAGGAAAATTCTGGAGCTGGAGGAACTGGGAGGCTTTCACAGGCTGTGACCGAGGCCACCCCCAGCCTCCAGAGCCCAGTCTGCCCCTCTGTGAAGGGAACCACCAGCACTGGCTCACAGGTGCCCAGGCCAGGGTTCGCGCATGTGTCCCACCCGGTCAGGGGCGGGAGCAAACTGAATCCTTCATGGCGGAATCACCTCTACATTGCAGCAGAGATTCGGGGATCCTTTGAAAAGACAGCAGCACACACACAGATTGTTGGAGAAACCAGGTGTGGGGTGTGGACTGTGCGGAAACCCTGTGACCTTCACAATTTCTTCGAAACCCCAAAGCTGTTCTTTAAAAAAAAATACGTATTTGGCCAGGCGTGGCGGCTCATGCCTGTAATCTCAGCACTTTGGAAGGCCGAGGTGGGCAGATACCTGAGGTCAGGGGTTCGAGACTAGCTTGACTAACGTGGTGAAAACCTGTTTCTACTAAAAGTAAAAAAATTAGCCGGGCGTGGTGTCGGGTACCTGTAATCCCAGCTACTCAAGAGGCTGAGGCAGGAAAATCGCTTGAACCTGGGAGGCGGAGGTTGCGGTGAACTGAGATTGCACCACTGCACTCCAGTCTTGGCGACAAGAACAAGACTCTGGCAAAAAACAACAACAATAACAACAACAAAAAACTTTATTTTTCCGTGCCAGTAGCGCTCCTGCAAACATGGTGAACGTTCCGAAAACCCAGGTTCTTTTTTTTTTTGAGACGGAGTCTCGCTCTGTCGCCCAGGCTGGAGTGCAGTGGCCGAATCTTGGCTCACTGCAAGCTCCGCCTCCCGGGTTCACGCCATTCTCCTGCCTCAGGCTCCCAAGTAGCTGGGACTACAGGCGCCCGCCACCTCGCCCGGGTAGTTTTTTTTTTGTATTTTTTAGTAGAGACGGGGTTTCACCGTGTTAGCCAGGATGGTCTCAATCTCCTGAACTGGTAATCCACCCGTCTCGGCCTCCCAAAGTGCTGGGATTACAGGCTTGAGCCACCGCGCCCGGCCGGTTCTTTTTTTTTTTTTGAGACGGAGTCTCGCGCTGTCTCCCAAGCTGGAGTGCAGTGGCGTGATCTTGGCTCACTGCAAACTCCGCCTCCTGGGTTCACGCCATCCTCCTGGGGCTACAGGCGCCTGCCACCATGCCCAGCTAATTTTTTGTATTTTCGGTAGAGACAGCGTTTCACTGTGTTAGCCAGGATGGTCTCGATCTCCTGACCTCGTGATTCGCCTGCCTTGGCCTCCCAAAGTGCTGGGATTACAGGCTTGAGCCACCGCGCCCGGCCCCAGGTTCTTTTTGAGACGGTGTCTCCCTCTGTTGCTCAGGCTGGAGTGCAGTGGTGCAATCTCGGCTCACTACGACTTCCACCTCCTGGGTTCAAGCAATTCACCTGTCTCAGCCTCCTGAGTGGTTGGGATTACAGGCATGGACCATCAGGCCCAACTAACTTTGTGTGTGTGTTTGTGTGTGTGTGTTTGTTTTTGTTTTTAGCAGAGATGGGGTTTCACCATGTTGGCCAGGCTGGTCTCGAACCCCTGACCTCAGGTGATCCACCTGCCTCGGCCTCCCAAAGTGCTGGGATTACAGGCATGAGCCACTATGCCCGGCCCCAAGAGCCTTTCTGTAAGAAGTGTGGCCAGCGCCAATCCCACAAAGGGAGGCGGTGCTAGAGGGGCAAGGACTCTCTCTGTGCCCAGGGAAAGTGGCCTTACCACAGGAAGCAGAGCGGCTGTGGTAGGCAGACTAAGCTGATTTTCCAGAAAAAGCTAAAACCACGAAGAAAATTGTGCCGAGGTGCAACTGCCTTGAGCCCCACTGCGGCGAGGGACAAGCCTGAGTTGGGAGGATATAGACCGAGAGACCGAGAAAGAGTCAAGAGACCCGTTCACAGTGCCATCGTTTTTATTTTTTTATTTTTTGAGACGGAATCTCGCTGTGTCGCCCAGGCTGGAGTGTCGTGGCGAGATCTCAGCTAACTGCAACCCCTGCCTCCTGGGTTGCAGCGATTCTCATGCCTCAGCCTCCCGGGTAGCTGAGATTATAGGCGTGCGCCACCACGCTCGGCTAATTTTTGTATTTTTAGTGGAAACAGGGTTTCAACATGGTGCTCAGACTAGTCTTGAACTCCTGACCTCATGATCTGCCCACCTCGGCCTCCCAAAGTGCTGGGATTACAGGCGTGGGCCACCAGACCTGGCCTTTTTTTTTTTTTTTTTGTGACAGTCTTGCTCTGTCACCCAGGCTGGAGTGCAGTGGTGCAATCTTGGCGCACTGCAACCTCTGCCTCCCAGGTTCAAGTGATTCTCCTGCCTCAGCCTCCTGAGTAGCTGGGATTACAGGTGACCACCACCATGCCTAGCTAATTTTTGTATTTTTAATAGAGACAGGATTTCACCATGGTGGCCAGACTGGTCTCAAACTCCTGACCTCAGGTGTTCCACCCGCCTTGGCCTCCCAAAGTGCTGGGATTACAGGTGTGAGCCCCCACGCCTGGACGGATAATAATAATAATAATTTCGTTTAGGCTGAATGCAATGGCTCATGCCTGTAATCCCAGCACTTTGGGAGGCTGAGGTGGGAGGATTACTTGAGCCCAGGAGTTCAAGACCACACTGGACAACATAATGAGACCCCATCTCTATAAAAAATACGAAAATTAGACAGGCGTGGTGGCGCATGCCTGTAGTTCCAGCTACTTGGGAGGCTGAGGCAGGAGGATCCCTTGAGCCCAGGAATTTGAGGCTGCTGTGAGTTATGATCGCATCACTGCCCTCCAGCCTGGGCAACAAAGTAAGACCCAGTCTCAATTAATAATAATAATAGGCCAGGCGCGGTGGCTCAAGCCTGTAATCCCAGCACTTTGGGAGGCCGAGATGGGTGGATCACGAGGTCAGGAGATCGAGACCATCCTGGCTAACGTGGTGAAACCCTGTCTCTACTAAAAAAATACAAAAAAACTAGCCGGGCGAGGTGGTGGGCGCCTGTAGTCCCAGCTACTCGGGAGGCTGAGGCAGGAGAATGGCGTAAACCCAGGAGGCAGAGCTTGCATTGAGCCGAGATCCGTCCACTGCACTCCAGCCTGGGCAACAGAGCGAGACTCCGTCTCAAAAAATAATAATAATAATAATAATAATGGCTGGGCACAGTGGCTCATGCCTGTAATTCCAACACTTTGGGAGGCTGAGACCAGTGGATCGCTTGAGGCTAGGAGTTTGACACCAGCCTGGGCAACATAGTGAGACCTCCATCTCTATTGTAAAAAACAATAAAATAATAATAATAATGAATTCAAGAGTCAACAGGATCAAGTCTGCATAGGGTCTGGAACACAATAAGTGCTCAATAAATGTGTTGAGGATCAGCCAGGTGCGATGGCTCACGCCTGTAATCCCAGCACTTTAGGAGGCTGAGGTGGGCAGATCACGAGGTCAGGAGTTTGAGACCAGCCTGACCGACATGGTGAAACCCCATCTCTATTAAAAAGTACAAAAATTAGGCGGGCATGGTGGCTCACGCCTGTAGTCCCAGCTATTGGGAGGCTGAGGCAGAAGAATCCCTTGAACTCAGGAGATGGAGGCGGCAGTGAGCCGAGATTGTGCCAGCACTCCAGCCTGGGTGACAGAGCGAGATTCCTTCTCAAAACAAAAACAGAATGTGTTGAGGGTTGATTTATTGCCCCAGGGCAGGGAGGAGGCCAGCAGGATATCTCTCCTCCCTCTGTAGAGTGGAAGGACGCACACACATTTTATTTCCTGCCATTGTCACGAACCACAGGGATCCCTCCTGCTGAATCAGCCCCTTTCATTCTGGCCTTTAATTGTCCTCTTGCCAAAGGCAACCCTGTGGCGTGTCCTGGTCTCTGCCTCACCCTGAAGAATGAGAAACCTGTTTAAAGTGAAGTGTGATGGAATCAAGTCAGACGTGAGGAAGGACCTACCTCCTTGGTCAAAGCTGGGTTGGGGTAAGCTTGCGGGAGAGAGGAAGTGAGGGAGGGTGTGAGGGCTGGCTCCCTGTGTCAGGGATGCCTGGGTGAGCTGGGGGGCCCGCTGACACAAGTGTTCCCATCCGGGGTTTGGGTGGCCCGATAGAAGCTGGCACCCCTGGGCTGGAACCTCACCGACTCCCCAGGGGCACCTGCCCTATTCATTCCATTTCTTTCTTTTTTTTTTTTTTTTTTTGAGGCGGAGTCTCACTGTGTCGCCCAGGCTGGACTGCAGTGGCCGGATCTCAGCTCACTGCAAGCTCCGCCTCCCGGGTTCACGCCATTCTCCAGCCTCAGCCTCCCAAGTAGCTGGGACTACAGGCGCCCGCCACCTCGCCCGGCTAGTTTTTTGTTATTTTTTAGTAGAGACAGGGTTTCACCGTGTTAGCCAGGATGGTCTCGATCTCCTGACCTTGTGATCTGCCCGTCTCGGCCTCCCACAGTGCTGGGATTACAGGCTTGAGCCACCGCGCCCGGCCCTTTATTCATTCCATTTCTAGCTGTGTTCGTTCCTTCTATCAAGCAAACATTTCACTCCCTGCCACGCAGGATTTGGGGTCTATGGGCAGCCTTGGGAAGATGCCCTGGGGTACATTCATCCCACCACCCCAAGGGAGACTCAGTTTCCCCGTATGAAGTGTGAGGGCAACAGCTCCAGCGCTCCCCTGCCTCAGTTTCCCTTTTTTGAGATAAGGACTCATTCTGTCACCCAGGCTGGAGTGCACTGGTGCTGTCATGGCTCACTGCAGCCTTGACCTCCCATGTTCAAATCATCCTCCCACCTCAATCTCCCAAGTAACTGTGACCTCAGGTGTGCGCCACCACACCCAGCTAATTTTTGTAATTTTTTGTAGAGATGGGGTTTCACTATGTTGCACAGGCTGGTCTGGAGTCCCTGGGCTCAAGTGATCCCCCTGCCTTGACCTCCCAAAGTGCTAGGGTGACAGGTGTGAACCACCATGTCCTGCCTCAGTTTCCCTTTTGTGAGCGCCTTTTGCGAAATGGCAGAAGGTACAGACACCAACAAAGAGGGCTTGTTGGCCAGGTGCAGTGGCTCACGCCTGTAATCCCATAACTTTGGGAGGCCGAGATGGGTGGATCATGAGGTCAGAAGTTCAAGATCAGCCTGGCCAAGATGGTGAAACCCCGTCTCTACTAAAAATAGAAAAAATTAGCCGGGCGTGGTGGTGGGTGCCTGTAATCCCAACTACTCGGGAGGCTGACACAGAGAATTACTCGAACCCAGGAGGCAGAGATTGCAGTGAGCCAAGATCGCGCTGCTGCACTCCAGCCTGGGTGACCGAGTGAAACTCCGTCTCAAAAAAAAAAAAAAAAGAGGGTGTGTCTGGGCCAGGCACGTGGCTCATGCCTGTAATCCCAGCACTTTAAGGGGCTGACGTGGGTGGATTCAGTGAGCCCAGGAGTTCGAGACCAGCCTGGGCAACACAGTGAAACCCCATCTCTAAAAAAGAAAAAAAGAAAAGAAAAAGTAAAGGGGGTTGGTCAACCCCCACAGCCTTGGTTTGGAGGGCCACAGAGGCCTCAGGTTCCCAAATCCCCTTCCATAGACGTGTGGAAAGTGCCCAGCTTGGAGTCAGTGAGTCCCTGCCGTCCCCCAGCCGTCAGAAACACAAACAGAGTTGCAGCATTTTATCTGCGTGGTAAAAGTGTCACCTGGCCAGGCGCGGTGGCTCATGCCTATAATCCCAGCACTTTGAGAGGTTGAGGAGGGTGGATCACTTGTCAGGAGTTTGAGACCAGCCTGGCCAACGTGGTGAAACCCATTTCTACTAAAAATGCAAAAATTAGCCTGGCGTGGTGGTGCACACTTGTAGTCCTAGCTACTGGGGCAGGAGAATTGCTTGAACCCTAGGAGTTTAAGCAATTAGGAGGTAGAGGTTGCGGTGAGCTGAGATCACGCCACTGCACTCCAGCCTGGGAGACAGGGCAAGACTCCGCCTCAAAAACAAAACAAAAACCAAAACCAAACCAAAGTGTCCCCTTTGCAAGGAGTCTACGTGATGATGTGGGTTCCAGCCCTGGCCACTCTGTACAGGGGCTCATTGGCCAACTTGACTCACCCCTGCAGAGTCCCTGGTCCTTCACCCAGCAGTCCTGCCCTCCCAGGAATGACTTCATCCCTTCCCTGTGGGCCTAGGGCCAGGCAGGCAACATGAAGAAACCCTCACAGCCACCACTTCCAGCCAGGACACAGGGGAGGCAGGCAGGGCCCTTGCCTGGGCACGAAATGTAGGCGGAGGGTCACCAGCAGCATCGTTCCTCAAGATAATAATAGTCAAGCTCGGTGGCTCATGCCTGTGGTCCCAGCACTTTCGGAGGTCAAGGCCGGAGGATTGCTTGAGCCCAGGAGTTTGAGACCAGCCCGGGCAATGTAGTGAGGCCCCGTCTCTACAAAAAATAAAACATTAACCGGGTGTTGTCAGGCGTGGTGGCTCACGCCTGTAATCCCAGCACTTTGGGAGGCCGAGGCGGGCGGATCAGGAGGTCAGGAGATCGAGACCATCCTGGCTAACACGGTGAAACCCCGTCTCTACTAAAAATACAAAAAAACTAGCCGGGCGTGGTGGCGGGTGCCTGTAGTCCCAGCTACTCAGCAGGCTGAGGCAGGAGAATGGCGTGAACCCAGGAGGCGGAGCTTGCAGTGAGCTGAGATCGTGCCACTGCACTCCAGCCTGGGCAACAGAGCAAGACTCTGTCTAAAAAAAAAAAAAAAATTAGCCAGGTGTGGTCATGTGTGCCTGTGGTCCCAGCTACATAGGAGGTTGAGGTGAGGGACAAGTAACTGAGCCCAGGAGTTTGAGGCTGCAGTGAGCTGTGATCATGCCACTGCACTCTGGATCATGTTTCAAAAAATATATATATTTTGTAATTGAATTTTTTGCTGTAATGATTGGAAACACATGCAGTTGTAAGAAATAGCACTGTGCCTAGTTTCTTCCCAATGGTAACATTTTGCAACAATCTATTACAGTGTGGTAACCTGGCTGTTGGCATTGATACAATTCACCCATTTTATTCATAGCTGGCCAGTTTCCTTCCTTCCTTCCTTCCTTCCTTCCTTCCTTCCTTCTTTCTTTTCTTTCTTCCTTGATGGAGTCTCGCTCTCTCGCCAGGCTGTAGTGCAGTGGCGTGATCTCGGCTCACTCCAACCTCCACCTCCCGGGTTCAAGCAATTTTCCTGCCTCAACCTCCCAAGTACTGGG